ACAAAGTTTCTGACAGTGTGATCAGGAAAATTTGAAAATCTGGATCGTAGTCGTAATCGGAACATTTAACGCCAAAATTTGATTAATCGAAAGAGAAATAAGAATGGTAACATAAGCGTAATATATAAAGTCTAATGAATAATTTAAATAAATGCTTATAATTGAAGGTATGGAGGATTTGATCGATCTTGGAAGGATGAGAAAAGTACTCCTCCAAATAAAAAAATAAATGTAATAAAATTATCGTCATTATTAAACGGTCCAAGTTCACATAAACTTGTTATTACTATGAGTGCAAGTATACCCATTACTACAAGTGCAATAGATCGATTCATTACTCTAAAAATTATCTGCTTTTGAAGGTGCCTGTTATATACCTCGAATTTTTATAAAAAAACGAAATCTTTTCGTAGTTGTTATGTATGCTACAATAGCTTTCTTTTTATTAATTAACAAGAAATTACTTATATTAATTAATAAGAAATTATTTTATTAATTAACAAGAAATTATTTATATTAATTAACAAGAAATTATTTATATTAATTTTTTTTTTTTTTTTTTTATTTTAAAGAGTGAGGCCTGGCCTCGGTCTTTATTGAATAATTTATGTGTTACATTAATATAATGATTTACATGAATTACTACAGGGACCTACAGCTAGGACTACTTTATCCTCGGCCTAAAACTCTACTAGAGTAGGCTAACAGACCTCATCTAGATTTATGTAGCGATGTAAGATGTGGAAATATTAGTAGTAGGAAAGATGGTTGCCCACATATTGAACCTTGCTATACTATGTTGTGATGTGGAAGGGTGATCTGGAGGGGGTATGGTAAGTGCGTTGGGTGTTACATCCTGCTGGTGTATTGCTATGCACCGTGCATGCCATATTGTTTTGTAAATGTTCTTGGAAATTTTATGCAGCATTTGGGTATAATGAGCCTTAGATAGAGTAGTAAGCTCCTGGATATTAGGCAAAGCAAACCCTTGTAGTGCGGCCATAGAAAGGGTATTGTTTGGTGGAATGAAAATTCTCTGTAGAAGCCATGTTCTGGTGTATCTTTTGTTTGTTTAGGAATTTAACCACTGTGTCATGGATGAGTTGGGATATTGCAGTTTGGTTTTTGTTACAGGTGAGCCAATGTGCATTGTCTTCAATACCTGTATAGCATCTTCTGCATGTTGGGTTAATGTAAGTTTTTGGGTGCCAGAAGTGTAGGTTAAGAAGTGTAGGTAATTCATTAAGAAGAAACTTGATTTTGAAGTTTTTAATTTGTGATAGTTTAGGATGTGTAGATCGAGTATGTGGTTTGTTGTTGTAGTTGATGTAGCTATGTAATAGTTCCTAGTTGGTATTTTGTCAGAACTGATTCCAGGCCTGGGTTCTGTTTAAGGAATGCCACCTGGCTATATTGTTTGTATTTTGTATATGTCTGATGAATCGGCGAGTTTTGTGTTCAACAATTGTGTTGTTCCAACTTATAAAAAAGTTGTTGTGGTCAAGTGTATAAGAAGTGAGTTCTAATTTGTTATACTGTGTTGATGTAACAGTTTGTATCATGCATTGAAAAAGTGGAGGCTTTGATTTAGCGTCGATTAGTGTAAATTTGATTGTAATATTTTTTTGTGCTATAATAGTATGTATAAGTTGCCTAAGTGGCCAGAAATTATGTTTTTGTAAACTTAAATTGAGATTGGGTGTTGTTTGTAGAATTGGGTTAATCATCTTAATAGTTGCAGAATGTGAGGTTAAAATTGTTATTTGGCAGTCAGGTGGTATTATAGATAGTATTGAAATTATTCCAACTAGGTATGCTCTAGTTGCAGAAGGCCAAGCAGTGATATGGGCTGCAAATGATATGTTTGTGAAAATAAGAGTCTAGGCAAATGATGCTGCAGATTCTGGTGTATTTATATTATTATGTATAGCATATATATAGAAGCTGAGTTTTGATACTTGTGAGTTGATCTGTGCTAGGTGATTTAAATGGACTTGGGCAGGGCTTTGTTTAAATACTTGACAAGAAATAACTGTAATACGAGAAGAGCATTGTAGAGTAGTAGGCCTTGTAGTCTGGTGATTTCCTGTAGTTATTGTCTTCATAAAGAGAGGGTGGTTAGAGATTAAGTCAGAAATATCAGTACATAATTGTTTTGAGCATGTAGCTAGGATTGTGATATAGTGTTGTAGGGAAATAATAATAGTACATTGTCTATATGTATTCATTGCTGTTGTTAGTATACAAGAGGTACAGCGAGTAAGTGGTAGAGTATTAATTTCTGAGTCAGGAGGTAGCCAATGTGTGATTTGTATATTGTTTCTTGGTAGCTTAGTTTTGAAAACTTTTTCTATAATCGGTATGTTTTGAATCATGCCTAGTATCCAACTAGTCTGTACAGATATAGATTTGTTGATAGTAAATGGATTGGGGCTCACAGTTGGTAAGTATGGTGTAGTAGGTTCGAATAGTGCTTTATGAAGCTCCTGAAACCATTTTGGTATCTGTCCTGGTATGTTTTTTTGAATTTTGTATAGCAGTTGATGCCAGGTGAGTAGTTGTATATTTGTATGGTTTGTGAGTTGTTCAATTGCATAAATATTTGCACGGTTTGTAAAAGTTTTTATATAATTAGGCTTTGGACAGTATTTAATTAGCTAATCAATTGTTGTACCAAGATATTTAGTAGATATGGGCCATGGATTAGGTAGGTTGAGGATTGTAAGGTTGAGTTGATGTATTGTATAGATTACTTGTGCTGTGAGTATGTACTCATACTTGGTAGGTAGTATAAATTGTGCGTACTGTAGTATATTGATTGGTGTCATAGCAGCATTTTGTAGATGCTGTAAATATATTTTAATCAGTAGCATAGTAGTAGGATTGTTAATTTGGGCATGTAATGCGGAGGCAAACAAAAAATCTGTGCTAGGTTTTGTCGATCATGTGGCGCAGCAAAATTTTTTAAAGTTCATTAATTTTAAGGTTAGCATTTAGAACAAGGTTAGAGGTTAGGTGGTATACAGTAAAATTGCTCAAGAAAAACTTTTTGTTAAACACAAAGTGTGGTTTTTTATGCAGATTTTGAGAAATAAGCGATTTTTAACAAAACGAACGAAATTTTCTGATCG